AGTGTAGGGCAGCGATGAGCGTTAAATCTGTCAAGAGCTCGAACATCCTCCCATTGCTGTGGTAGTTAGGAGAAGGGGGTGCCAGCTCAGGTGTCGTCCACGTCACTTGACCATGGTTCAAAATTACGTGGTCCGTCGCCAAAAGCCCTCGTGTAGCTGAACAATGCGACATTAATATTCACTCACTCACTCCACTGGAAACAATAACAAATGAGGAGTACTTTAATGTGTGTGTGTAAACAAGAGCAATATATTTATACAAGTAACGTGCATAATATATTTTGCATGATGAAAAATGGGGAAAAAACGACATTTTAATAAAATAAAAACAACACGAAAAAAAAGTTATTTAAAAAGTAATGAAATTTTCTAATCTTAATTCATTTGGAAAACTTCATTTTTTATAACTTAATTAAATCTAAGGGATATCCAAACTATAATTATTACGTGTTTCCAAAAAAAAATATGTGATTTTCTGCTCTTATAAAATCATTATATACTGTTTTATGAATAAATATTTAAAATTCCATTTGAAAATAATATTTTAAATGCACAAGAGGATGGGATAGCCTGTTAGAGATCCATGTGTATGCTTTTTAATAAATATGCTAAAGCTTCAAGTGATGTCGAGATAATTAATTGAAGATTGCAGCTTAATCTACATTTCAAAAAATGTATAATTTCAAATTATTTTCAAACAAATAAAAAACTTTTACTGACCGCATCATGTACAAAATGTTTCAATTTTTTAATTAAGCTTACTTTCCAACACTCAGATTAATAAATTTAACAAAAAATGTCTATTATACACATATATAAATTATATTATATATAGTTAAAACGTTTTACCATCTGGCCTAAGCATCTATCTTTTTAAAGCATATTGATAACCATTAAGAACATCTATTAAGAATTTTCCCTTAGTTTGCATTTCTTTTTTCAACATTTAAACTAGATTTTATATATAATTTCAAAAGAAGAAAATAATGAGTAATTTATAAAGATAAGATGAAAATGTGTAAGCCATTTCGAAAACTAGCACAATGTAAATAATAAAGTTGATACACAATTCGAATCATTCACTTTTCAATTCTATATTAACACTAGAAAGACTGAAATTTAGTATATACCTATATTGCCCAAAAGTAGTCCAAATGACTGCATTGGGAAAGAATAACTAATATGTAAAGAAATTTGTTTAAAATTAATTTTTAATATTTTTTATATTATTTACAGTCACATAACAAGTTATTAGTAAATATTAACAATAAAAAAAAATTTACTTCACTTGAGAAAAAAATGTATTTTAAAAAAGTCTAAGAAATTGTGTCATTATATACGTAATTGTTTCTGTAATTGAAATTAAAAAGCTGTCAAAATAACTTCCTTGGGCAATCTAGTGTTAATTCAATAAATAATTTTCATTTTATCCAACACTTAAGGTTATTTCTAAAATTAATACAATGTAAAATATTTAAGTTGTTACAATTTGAATCACTTATTTTTATTTTCTATTAATTCAATCAATTTTTATTTTTCCATACACATTACACCGGTTCTAAAACGAATACAATGTAAATAATTTAAGTTGTTACAATTTGAACCAATCACTTATATATTTCATACAAATTAAGCTAGTTCATAACCTAATACAATGTAAATTACTTTAGTTGTAACAATTCTAACCACTCACTTTTATTTCTATTAATTCAAAGGATTTTAAATTTTTCTTTGCCCATTAATGCGGTTCTAAAAATTATTTGCAGCTTAAAATAGTTCAGTTGTTACAATTCCATTTATTTTTCATTTTTATTAACTCAAAATCCATTAACTTGTATTTTTCCTCGCGCACTTAAAGGATTTTGTTATTAGCAGTTGATTGCACAATACGAAAAAGTCCTAAAATATTCAAATAGATTGTATTCTGAATTAGTATCTAATATTTAATACATTTAATCAAAACGCAATGTTTAAATGTAAAACTGACTATATAATTAATAGCTTTATACAGCCATTTTTTCTAGCAATGTTATAGCAATATATTTTTGGAATTGAGATTGATTTATAAAACAATTAATATAAAAAAATTAAGTCAATTCTTACTTACAAAGAAAATTCTTACATAAAGAAAAATTTTATTTTACTAACTTTTTATTTAATAATTACAATTAATATAAATATTTAGGTACATATGACAGAATCACAATATTGAGTGGCAAAACAGAAAGCTACTTTCCTTGTAATTTTCCATTTTCCTTTCTATATAGGGTGTTGGAATATTATTTTTGTTTGTGTGTTTTACTATTTATTCATTAATTAAATTTAAGTATTCCAATAAAATAATATAGTAAAAAGAAATTACATTCTCCGAAGTTATGCCATCCCAGGTAAAACTCGAACCCACGACTGTTGGATTAGAAGTCCAACACGCTATCCATTGCGCTACAGGAACGCAACGAGTGACTTTCCTTTTTATATATGGTGTTGGACCAGGGGCGTAGCTAACGCCAAGCTATAGGGCCCCAATAAATGTAATTACAGTCCCACTAACAGGGCTCCCATATCTAAAAAATGGTCCCAAAGGAATTTTGATACAGGGCCCCCCGAGAGCAAGCTACGCCAGTGTGTTGGAGATTTATTTTTTGTTTGTTTGTAACTAATTATTCATTAATTAAATTTAATTAATTACCGTAAAATCCGCGCACTTTGAACACAAAAAATAAGACCGAAACTTAAGGGTGCGCGTTATACGCCGGGTATAAAAATGATAGCTTTAAAAATAGCAAAAGATATGAACACACATAAAAAAAACTTTTCTTCTACATGTATCAAAACACTGTTTATTTAAAAGAAACGACTTGCCTTACGAACTAAAAGAGCTGTAGTTCTAGAAGCATACTATTTTTTCAAAAGTTTGGGATAATACCTCGAATAAATGATTTCAAAATATAAAAGCAATGTACACTAATATTTCAGATTTCTTCGTTAAAAAGGGGGTGCGCGTTATACGGCGAATATACCTAAAAATTAAAAAAAATCAGCTTGAAAGTATAGATGCGCGTTATACGCCGGATTTTACGGTAATTAATATTTGAAAAAACTGTATTAACATTAAGTGCCATCCACTACAGGTTTAAAAAATGTATTTGAACTTGAGTGGATGAACAAAAAGTATTTTATTAACGATTGAAAATTTGAATAAGATATATATATTTATAAATAAATATATATAGGAAGAATGTAAACTAATAGTAGAGGAATTGAATGAAACTCATTTAACTTATTTTCAATGGCATAGCTACCTCTGAGTGGGCCCCGTATCAAAAATTCTTTGGAGCCCATTTTTGGAAAATAAATAGAAATAATAGCATTGATAAAACTTATATGAAAGTGTCAAAATAAATGTTCTTTGACATAATGTATTAAAAAACTTCATTACTTAGTTGTTTAAATAAATAGGTGCTTTTCTCGATTTTTTTTCGGTAAACGCATTTATAATATCCATAACAGATGATTTATTTTTTCAAGTTCATCTGTTTCTACAGACAGTAAGTATTGTTAAGTTCGAAAACCAGTTTTGGCCTATGAAAGTTCTAAGATGATTTTTAATAATTTTTAGCTTAAAAAAACTTTCAGTTATTGCAGCTGTGACAGGAAGGGTATAAAATAATAGGCATGCTATCATAACATCCGGGCAACGGGAGGTGAGGCTACTGAAGTTAAGAACCAATAATTTTGCACGCTTTTTGATAGAATGGATTTTCTCAATAATTCGGATTTTAAATAGCTTTTTAAAGCCCTTAATTGTTCATAGATACTGTGTGTTAATTACTTGTCATATTCAATAGCTAGTTTCGTGGCCTTTTTTTATTTCTTAGTTTGAAAAGGATAAGTGTTTATCCGGTAGTAAGATTTCGAAAATATTGCTAGGATCAAGGAAACAGAAATCTTTGTCTGGTTTGGGATATTAATACATCTAAGCTGCGATAATACACATTGACTAAAAAACGATTCTGGATCTGAAATGATCTCATCTTCTGAACTAAAAAAAAAGCATTTTCTTCTCTTTCATTTCTGAAAGCATGACATTACACCCCATTCATTTGTAAGATTTCCGGACTCGTTTAGCAAACAGCTGAATGAATTTTGATTTCTTATTAATTCCAGACTACTTAGGAGATTACTCAACAGAATACCAACTTTTCGTAGGTCATTTTTTTTCATGCTGTAGGTTTATAGAAATAGGGTCTGTGATTTCACATAACCAAGAAAAAAATGGTCACAAGTATATTTCATAAAATCCTACCTCTCTAATATAGTAATTATATCTTATATTCGTCACGTTTAGTTAAAATTAAATTGAGTTTACACACACAAAATGCTTTCATTATTACTTTTTTCAAATTACGAATAAGGTGTCATTTCATGGTGACCATCCATTTTTTACACAAATCTAGCAAATAATTTTTTAAATATTGATCAAAACATGGATTATTAAAGTTAATCATTACAGGATAAGAATAATTGTTCAGTTTAGTATTTTTAAAATTATGAATGAGAAGAGCTTGCTAAATCAAAACAGTTACAAAAATAAAAAGTTTCTCTGCTTTAAAAAAATTAAAACTGCAATACATTTCCGAAGGCAATTTAGTTTCTCAAAACGTTATTACAGGATGAGAACGTTTATAGGATTTCAACATAGCAGCAAAACATAGATCTTTATATTGAAAATACCGCGATTTCTACTTATCTTACACTATATTAACAAATCCGTTATATGCAAGAAGTGGTGAATAATTTAAAATTATTATTTCAAATGAAATTAATTTATTGTCTTATGTGTTGAAGAAATATCTATGCGTTCCTCATTTTATTTCAATTATTTACTGGAACATGTATGAATTTAAAATTCATGATAAATGTATGCAATTTTTAAATTACGTTCTAGTTTCATAATACATGACTTAAAAGAACGTGAAACGTATAACTCATTTTTTACTATACAACTATATTATCTGAAGCGTATCGCGCTTCCCCGCCACAAGTCCGGGATTCAAACCCCGGGCTAGGCAAGATCGAAGCCATTCATCCCTTCAGTGGGTTAATAAATGAATACCAAGCTTGCTTGGGAACTAAGCACTGGGAGGTTCGCGTCAGACTGACCACCTGACAGGAGTATCTGTCCATGCTCCTCAGAGCCCAAGGTCATGAAAACCGAAAAGGGCACAGGAGGCCTTGGCCCTCTGTGGGCTGTTGCACGATTGAGTTTGGTTTAATATACTATCTCTATTTCACATGGTTTTACAAGGATTTTCATATAACGTTTTAACTGCGTAAAAATAAAATCGGATGGGATATGAACTATATTGTACAGCACAAGGAAGAAATGAGAAAAAAATCTTACCATTACAATCTAAGTAAGACAGATTTGTTGACTGTAGGGAAAACAGCTACAATTTTTTGGGGAATTTTTTTACAATATTTTCTTTATTTTTATTTACGTTTAAAAGCGCCACTACAGTAGATGATCTTCCATTCTCTCTCATATTTTCAAAATTTCACCGCGCAAAGAATCACAACATAATCAATGGAATTAACAAAGAAAATAAACTTTAAAACCTATTTTGTGAGGCTGTTAGAATGACTACGAATGGAAAACGTACTTTGGCCCTAGAATTGCTCATCACAGGGCAATTTACTAGTAACTGGGGTGGTGACAAAAGACTTCTGGCACCTTTCTTTATTTTTGGCAGAAAAATGGCACATAAATAATTTTTTCACGTAATAATATTCGTAAAATAACTTTATATGTACATTCTAATTCAACTGATACTAAATATATCAAAAATATTATCCATTTGTATATCTTTTCAAAATCATGGTTCCAAACGAAGTCAGTCACCTTAAATTTTACAAATTTTGGTGAATATTATTAATTATGGAATAAAAACCTAAAACTATTTCATTCAATATTACAATGTGACTTCGAAATAGTAACTAAAACTTCAGAGGTTGCTTAAATGATAAGTAAACATGCTAATTTTATTGTTTTTTCTCTGTTTTTCAATTCCTACTATTAGTTTTTTTTCACAACCTTTCTCTCTCTATATATATATATCTTATTCAAATTTTCAATCGTTAATAAAATACTTTCTATTTATCCATTCAAGTTCTAATACACTTTTTAAAACTAGTTTAGTAGAGGAGGGCACTTGAAATTAATACAGCTTTTGAAATATTAATTCATTAGTTTGAATTTACTTAATGAATGAAAAGTAACAAACACACACACAAATAATAGTCCAACTCCATATATAAAAAAGTAAAATCCCTCGTTGAGTACCTGTAGCGCGATGAATAGCGAGTTGAACTTTTAATCCAAAGGTCGTGAGTTCGTATCCCACCTGGGATGGCCTGATTTCTGGAAATGTGGTTTATGAATGAATAAATAGTAACGAACAAAAGTGATAGTCCAATACCATATATCGAAAGAAAAATCGCTTTCTATTTTGCCACTTAATATCGTGATTCTGTCATTTGTATGTACATATTTATATTAATTGTAACTATTTAATAAAAAGTAAATAAAATAAAATTTTTCTTTGTTGGCCTAAGTAGGAATTGACTTTAAAAAAAGTTTTTGTATATTACTTGTTTCCGATTCATTCATAAAATTGTTTTTCTACACTGATATATCTACTAACTCATATGAAATCATAAAATTTTTTTATGCTTATAAGTTAAAATTGTGTTAAACGTTATGTTATCCTTTAAAAATGTTAAATATCTTACAGCAATGGTCTTCAAACTTTTCCGACTCATTTAACCCTTAGAGCTACAAGGTGGTACCAGGAAATCCCTTTGAAAAAACACGCAGCAGGGCCGTTTTTAACCACCCCTGCGCCCTAAGCACTTTAAATCGTTACGCTCCCAGATCTAAAAAATTATTGAGTAGTGGCCTCTATAGCTATATATCTTCTTCAACAGGGAAACTGAATCTACCATCCTACAAAATTTAATCCGTGATCCCAAGACCTTGCACTCTCATTAAAAGAGAAAATCTATTTTGATGCAAAAGGAGTTTTAGATATTATTCTTAAGAGCAACTGTATACCATTAAAAGAAATTGCTGGTAAAATACATATAAAATAAATTTTATTTTTTTTCTTCTACAATTTTTTATACCTTCAATCAAAAAGATATTTAGAAGAATTTCTTGATAATCTGTCATTTGTTTTACCCTCAAAAAAGAAAATTCAGACATACAATACGGTTCTTTTTATTTTCTTTTCTTTCTTTCAAGACTACGCAGTACCTTACAAATTTCAATAATTTTTTTTTTTCTGCGTTTAGCATTTTCTTGCGGCTTATATCATTGGGAAGCTTGCTACCAAGTTTCAGATCTGATAACAAATTAGTTTTTAAGATATTTGAATTTTTCTAATCTTGGGT